GCTATATTGCATGAGATTATCGTAGAATCGTAGATAACCATTTTAGATATTTGTACATATAATTCTTTCTTTAGATAGAGTTTAAAAGAATTTCTTAAAAGATACACTTTAAAAGAATTTTAGATGCATTTGAGATACAATTTAAAAGAATATTTTCCTTTAATCAGCTAAATCATCCAACGCAAGCGCTTCTGTCATAGGTTCATAACTTTCAACTTCGTTGGGGAAAAATCAACTGATTTTAATGCCACCAAATGGGCTTTGATCATTATTATTCCGTATCATATTAAGAGTTACTTTTAAAATGTTTACATTAGTTACACGACTTATTCTACAAGGATTCAATATGATGTACCACCTGAAATATGTTTATTGGCTGATTCCTCTTATTTATTCAAAAAATCAAAATATATTTTATTAATCATTGATTAATAATATAATGACAAAATTATATGAAAAAATAATAAAAATGGTACAGAGGAATAACCGTAGCTTCTTGCATGTGAGGTTAACCACTTTTTTATTATTTCATGCAGATGATAATTCCAGTGAACGTGCTGTAAATCGGAGAATATTACAAAATTCCCGATTTCAAAAATCTCTTACCGGTGTTATGGGAACTATAAATCAAATATCGTCGAGTGTCGACCATTTCCCCATTAATGGATGTCACAGCTGGTAAATACACCAAAATGCGATGGGTTCACTGTTTTTAACTAATATTATTTTACTCATTGTATCTTTTACTCTTTGATTAATAATAGTTATCCTTCTTATAATGTATAGCAAAAGTCGAATGCTGAAAAATTAGTGTCAAGTGTCTTTTCTCAACAAGTTCCAGTCTTGCTTGATAAGAGACCAAATTCCAAGACATGTACATCAATTTCATTTAGAATCTACTAGGAAGTGTTCCATAATTTGTAATTATCAAATTGTATGATGATTACGTTACATATTGGCATAACATACGTATATTACCTATATCTAATGTTTGTGATTAACTTAATTGCAATTACATTTTATGTCTGACTATGCTTACACACCAGCCAGGAACTCTCGCACCGTGCATCGCACGGGTACAATACTAGTTTCTCTAATTAAACCGTGGGTGTTTTCTCTTTTCTATGCATATAGTTAGTAGTATACTTGTATAGGTATAATAACTTCAATTGGTAGGGACAATGCAAAATCAAAACTCTGGGTACAAGATTATCATATTGTGTTGTTACAAAATGCTGATTTAGAGCTACATTGTGATAGCATGAAAATTATCTAACTTGTTAGGGCTCTAACGAAATGAGTACGAGCCTGAATTGAACTTCGTTTGTGACCCTTGGATGTAAAAGTTTGTTTGTGACAACACTTCTGTGGGATAAATTTCATGAATAGAAGACTTTTTTCTTGAATGGAAATAGATACACGGAAAAATGCATCGTATAAATTGGTGTGAGACCGTTAGACCCTTTGATTTTTTATATTGCAAAATGACAAATAAAGTTGTATTGAAGGCCATGGAATAACCAAGTTGAATTATAGGAGTACATCATTTTTAACATGATAGTATTATATTTCAACAATTTTTTGACATGATGTGTAGCATTCGACATGATCCTGGTTCACAACTAAAATTCTGACCATTTTATAGTATGAAAAGTATAAAGAATGTTAATGCAAAATCACAAACGGTGCAAGGTGAGGTATATATAATTCAAATCATGTCTTTCGACTCTTCTTTCTTTCAGAAAGTCTAATAATATTATTTAGAATGATCTTAATGACTTCAAAAGTAGATCTATAATACATAGATGTCTATTACTTGAAACCGACATTGAATAATCTATTTTTGATTAAAAATATTAATTTGAACGAACTAAATAAAATTGACCAGTGGTGCACCAGACCCATTTCATCAATGCAGCAGTGCCCCGCTTTAAAAAATCTTTGGGTCCGCGGTCCGCCACCGAATACGTATGCTACCGCGGGTCTTTAATACTTTCTCCATTGCAGCATTTTGATTTGCAAAAAGCAAATTACAAGTTCGATTAGGGATAGCGTTTATATCTTAAAAGAGCAGAATCATACTTTACAAACTAGAAAATTGAGATGACAATAACATACGGACAATAGAGTATTTAAATACACTACTTCCGTAGGCTCAAGGTTCCCATGACAAAACAACATAATTGTTTAGACAAAAAATAGAAAGTGATTCAGTTTTTTTACGAAATCATTAATGATAATTGTGACGTGATAGATTTATTATTTGTAATATTTGATGATTAAATTATAGAGTGTTAATAATTTTTTTTCTAAAATAGAAATGAGAACATGGGATGTTTGAAAAGGAAAAGTGAAAAACTTAAACTCAGATAGAGAGAATACACGCTATGATTATTTATTAAACATGTTACCAACGTTTTATGTGAGCTTTATTTATAGCATTGCCTTTTGGCTTTAGGAACGTACAAGACAGTGACATTCATGAGTAGATCACGTTTAAGGTGGACCAATTGGCCTATTCATGACCTTCAAAAACAAATTGGCCAATTCATGAGATTTCCCACACATCTCATAGTGTAAGTTATCTGTTTTGCACTAGAGCTCTAAAACACGTGACATTTATTTTAATCTCACTAATCAAATGAGCAACAAAAAAACCCTGCACGAGTCTAAGCTCGGGTTTTCCGTTTTCACCGAACATTATGGTAAGTGGTAACTTATAACCCTACTGTTATTGGACAAAAGCATACACATATGACATATCAATATTTTTTTGGGATATCTCAAATAAAAGTAAAAAGTGTGAAATTTTGAAAAAATCACGATATTCCCCCTCTAAATAGTCGTGCATTATGGTTATTTAAAAAAAATGAAGTAATTGAATCTATTGAAATTTTAGATATTAAAGCCTAAAGGTAGAGTTGAATATGTCTGAGTCGTGAAAACTATTTGGTGAAATAAAGACAAATAAAAAAGACAAATATATATCAAATGGTGAACTATTTAAGTCCATATATAATTTCAACCAAAAAAATCAATCATATTTTATACCGGGTAATTTTTTTTTTTTTTATTTTGATTGTGCAATAAAAATAAGTTAACGTTTGATAAAGAAAAAGATTACGAACTGTGACTAAAATTATTTGAATTGATCCGATTCCAGATTATCGATTCGAGCCTTGCACTGTTGCACAGATTAAAATCTGAGTTGCACAATTGTTCCCGGCATTATCCAATATGAAATTCAAATATAAAGTATATAATAAAAAAGATAGAGCTGTATATTTAGATCTACAGGACTGCAACTTAGAAGAAATTAGGATGGAGTTGCATACTCCAATCAAAGACAAAAGCTTTATCTATTAGGGTGTATTTGCAAAGGATAAAATAATGTTTTTTTTGTCTTTTTGCCTTAAAGGATATGGAAGTATGTTTAATTTGAAATTGTTTTTCACTTTTCCTGTTATGTAAAATGTATTTTATCGAACATTTTCATTTTTTTAATTTTTAAAAATTTACTTTTTTCCTAGTATACAAGTATTTAATATAGAATATTTTCTCAAAAATCAATTTGAAAAATGACTTTTTAAAATAGAACAATCACAAACATTATCACCATTAGGACAAAATTTATTCTTCTCTATTTTTTAGTTATATAAATAGAATAATCCAAAAGAGTTGTTATTTTTGGATTATGATAATCTAATGATCCTAGGCAATTTTATATATTACTTCTGTTCCAAGAAATACTTTTTCTTTGCAAAATCATTCCAAGAAATACTTCTCACTTTGACTTGGCATGCTTACTAAAAAAGTGGAAATAAAGTGAAAATGAATAATTGTGGTTTAGTAAGAAAAAAGTAAATGAGTATTTATCAAAAAAATTCAAAAGAGAAAATAGGAAGAATTTTTTGGACATTGCAAAATAGTGAGTGAAAATAATTTTGTCCGAGGAGTAACAACTTTTTGGTGAAAAAGTTGATTGATAAGTTTGATAAGCCGAAAAACAGTGTTGTCAAACGACCTCTAAAGTTCATATTAATTACTCCCTCCGTAACATAAAAATCTTCCCACTTTCCTTTTTCGTCCGTAACAAAAAAAAAATCTCATTTCTAAATCTTCTCATCATACCCTCAATAATTCTGAAAATAATACACTATTACAACTACTTTTTTTGGATTTATCCTACATTCCATCACATTATTCTACTATCTTCCCATCATAGACTCAATATTTCATATCCTCTTTCACTATTCTTAATCTACCTACTTTTGAAATGGGAAGGTTTTTAAGTTACGGAGGTAGTATGTTTACGACAGCCGGGCCAACCGCGTAAAAGAGGTCTACCCTCCACGTGTCACATCTAACGGCTTAACTTATACCCCCTCCGTATCAAATTAATTGACATGTATGCTTTTTCACGTAGTTTAAGGCAAATATATGTAAAGTTGGAGGTTTTTGGTACTGTAGCGGTACTGTAGCAGTACTGTAGCGGTACTGTAGCTGCTTTTTGGATGGGTTTATTTCTAAAAAAGAGAAATGAGACATTTATTTTGATACGTCCCAAAAGGGAAAGCGGGTCAATTAACCTATGTTTAAAAAACCGACCCGACCCGGCCGGGTTGACCCGGAACCCGGTGACCCAGACAAAAAACCGGTTCGGTTTTTTCAAAACCCGGAAATGGTCAAAAACCGGAAAAACTCGGCTAACCCGGGAAAATCTGGTCAAGACCCGGACCCAAGAAACCCGAAAAACCCGGTAAAACCCGGTTTTTGGGTGTTTTTACCAAAAAAAGTAATTTCTTTTTTATTTTTAATGCATTTTTATACCAATAAAATTGTAATTTCAATACCTTAAAAAAAACTACGTAATATACTTATATATTTATTTAAGAATGAACATCATGCCAAATTATAATATAGATGTACAATAAAAATATCATTATATATTTTTATAAGATCAAAATATACATTGAAATATTATAAGAGTGTATTAAATGCCTAATAAGTAGTATTGTTTGTTGATTATTATGAATAATAACTAATTTTTATTATAATTTTATATATAATTATATGTTTACTATTATTATATAGTTGTATAATCATTGACCGGTTTTCCGGCGTTGACCGGGTTGACCCACATGGTCCGGGTTGACCCGTGACCCAGTCATGTGGCCGGGTCACTCACCGGTCCGGTTTTTACAACATAGCAATTAACCACAACCGTGTGAACGCGATGTTGACGTCAGCTCTCCAAATTATTCCATGTGACACCTGACAGTCATGTGGCCGGGTCACTCACCGGTCCGGTTTTTACAACATAGCAATTAACCACAACCGTGTGAACGCGATGTTGACGTCAGCTCTCCAAATTATTCCATGTGACACCTGACAGTCTATCCAACCTGTCTTACCACCTCATCCCCAAAAGTGAAAGACTTTTGTACATAGTCAAACCTTTCCAGGTGACAGGTCACCCCCCACGTGTGAACACAATATCTGGTCGCACTTATATACACACTATCCTATATCACTCCCTTCTCCGCTTAAGACCGGCCAAAAACAGTGCTTCGATCATGCAAAGGTTGACCGACAGGCTTAAGCAAACGCCCAGGGATTTTTCACAGCCCCCGCGCCGCCAGCGAGTCTTACCAGCGATAAGGAGGATTCCGTCATGGTCTCCGCCCTCAAGTGTGTCATAGATGGAAGCGCACCGCCGGCGCCGCCAATGGTGTCTTGTCCTGCCGTTGTTCCGCCGGAGTTCAGCGAAGGTGAAAAGAGGAAGAAAAAGGCGGGAACGAAATCAACGAATAAGAAGAAGAAGAGTTACAGGGGAGTGAGGCAGAGGCCGTGGGGAAAGTGGGCGGCGGAGATTCGGGACCCTCGGAAGGCGGCGAGGGTTTGGCTCGGGACGTTCCGAACCGCGGAAGACGCCGCCCGAGCCTACGACAGAGCCGCCGTTGAATTCAGAGGTCCGAGAGCGAAGCTCAATTTCTCCTTCTCCGATTACACCTCTCCAAACACGCCGCCGGAGCAGAGCACGTCAAGCGCCTCTTCAACGTCATCTCATCCCCGGCAGCAAGGCGACGAGGAGTGGTCAGCGGCGGGTACGTGGAATGAAACAGGAGTATGCGAATTTTTAGGAGACCAGGATATTCAGGAATGGCTAATGATGATGGATTTTAATACATCAGAGATTGCTTCCTTTTCGCAGTTTGGGCTATTTGTCTAGTTAAGAGACAAATTCCATACATTTTTTTATTACAACCATACTTGAGGTATACATTTTCGTACACACACTTAGACCCTTCAAATGCGTTGTGTTTGTATACAGACAAAAAAAACACTTTACAAACACGAGTGTGTAAGTGTGTGTACAAAAAATGTGTAACAAAAGTTTTTTCCTTTTTATTAAATCCCATGCAGTTGTCCGAAATTATATTGCACCTAGAGAATAATTAATATATTTATATACTCCATATAATTTATAATTTTTATACTTTTATGATTTATTTTGAATAGGGAAAATTTGTATATGATATTAATATTCAAAATAATTTGTATTAAAAGTATTATTGATTATCGTTCACAAAAAAAAATCAATTTGACAAACTTTTTCAGTTGTGTAATAATCAATAAAAGTAAATATAAAGTTATTTTTCTGTTTGAGTCTAATGAAATGTACGTGAAAAATACTATATTTAAAATGTATATATCAAGAATAAAATTGACAAATTGATAGTAACTTGATAATGGTTTAATTCTCTCTTAAACATACCCCATTCATTCTAAATTGATTTGTAAAGTCAAACATTTTTTGGTCAATCAATGTTAAATTATCCGTATTTATAATTCGTTCAATTTTAATATTACAAAGTACATTTTCAGGAACTACACTAAAATCTTTATAAAATTGCAAAATTTAAATCAGGATAAAATTTAAATTAGTATCCTAATGTTGGAAAAATGTGTTAAAATTGCATTAAATGGTCATTTTGGTGCAATTTTTTAGTGGGGTCTACTTCCGATTCGGGTTGGGTCAAAGTGGTTTCGGATTGTCTTTGCTTAGGGCTACAACTCGATATATGGTACGCTCAAAACGGATAACGGGTGAATGAGAAATTGATTCTCGAAGTTCACTCGTTGAAATGGAGAAAAACTAGGAAAATGTGGGTTTCTAGTGTGGTTTTTTCCCACACCGGAAAATCCAAGGGAATTTGAACCCTTTATAAAGGGAAACCCCCCTTAAGGAATTAAGATTCATTAGGGTAAAGGCTCTCTCATGCGCGCAGGGGCGGTGTGCGAATCAAATCCCGAACGAATCAAATCTTGAACTTGGAGAACAAATAGCGTGAATTGCGTGAACGGGTGACCTGCGGACACGAATGTCGTTCGAAAATCTATCTTCTAAAGATAACGTTAACTTTTGTTCTTCCAAGTAGCCCATTCAATGCCCAACGTTCATATGCACGTTTTGGACAGTTTTTATGGACGAATCAATGTCAACATGCTAGACATTGATGCCCAACGTCCACACCATTAAAACTGACCATTAACACATGCAAATCTACCCCTATATAAGGGTGACAGATGGTTTACAACAGGCCGGATACACTTCATACACAAACTTCACCTTCTTTTAGCTCAAAAACTCTACCAGCCAAACTCTGAAAAACTTCCTCTGTGTTCTTGCTTGGTTCTCGTTCGTTGGAACTATTCGGTTGAGTGCTCAACGAATAGCTCGTAGTCATCGTATCTTGGGAAACGGTCGTTGCAACGCTCCTAGCACCCCGGGAGGCAACGAATACGTTTTAAGGAAATCGTGCGTAACACGAGCTTTGACTTTTTCTGCTTCATCTATTTTCTGTTTTTGTTTAGTCATTTTATTTAATTAATTTTTATTAATTAATTTTCTTTGTTTTCCGAAACACAGCCAACGCCTAATTAAGTTAACAACATGAAAATTAATGAGTAAACAAATACTTTTATGATTTTTTTGTATATGGAACATTTTGATATAATTTTAATATTCAAAATAGTTTCTATAAAGAGTTGAATTTGCAAAACTATTTGGAAAACTAATGAGTAAACAAATACTTTTATGATTTTTTTTTCTATAGGGAACATTTTGATATAATTTGAATATTCAAAATTGTTTCGTGTTAAAATATCATTGATTAAAGTTGATTATTATTCAAAAAAATTAATTTGACAAATTTTTTATACTATGTAAATTAAATACGGAATATGTTCTTCCCTATGAAGTATCATGTTGGCTGCACAGATCGAGTCGTCAAGCATACCTGGCCAAGACCGGAAAACCTGAGCCAATCACACCCAAATTTTAATGGTATCTTCTGTCTAATTATTTTACATTTTTACCAGTTTCGGTTTGACTGGTTGGACCAGAATTAATATGTACGGAGTATTATACTACGTACTTCGTATTATTTTAGAAAATATCAAATGAGAAACATATCTTAAACTGAAAAATGTGAACTATTCCACACCATCCTAATAGCGCACAAATGTCCATCTATAACGTCTGATTGATTCAAAGTCGCGTTGTTCATTAATTGCTATTTTATTGGAGTAAAGGGTCAGTTTGGTCCTCGAAGTTTCAAAAAAGGGGATCAAATAAGTCCTTATATAGAAGATTCTGTCCGGACGTGCCATTTGAGGTGGCTCACGGTGGTTTTTTTTGATATTTTTTTTGAGCATCTTATTCATTAAATCTAGTTTACTCATACCAAATTTAAGCTAAAAATTTAATCGGGAAGACATTCAAATGAATTCTTGAAGATAACTGATCTTATATTCAAGAAATCATTTGAATGTCTTCTCGATTGAATTTTTATCTGAATTTTTGGTATGAGTGAACTAGACTTAATGAATAAGATGGTCAAAAAAATTCATCAAAAAAAATCCACCGGAAGCCACCTCAAATGGCACGTCCGGACAGAATCTTCTTTATAAGGACTTATTTGACCCTTTTTTGCAACTTCGAGGACCAAACTAACCCTTATCCCTTTTTTATTGTTTTAACTAGCTTTAAATTTTTTCCGTGATCAAATATAAACAAGGCTTGTCGTAAGAACAAATACTTACCCCAATGTGAGCACATTAATGAATTGAAGTTTGTTCGTTGCACTTTTATCACGGTGGCACTTTGATATAACTTGACTTTGCCAAGTTAGCCAAACTTGACCAAACTTATTTAGTACCCTTATCGAATTTGAGTTGGTCAAACTTGACTTTTCAAATCAATGATTTCTAACTTTGATCGGTTACATATTTATATACAGAGGGTATTGATAAAATGAAATTGATATGAAAATGTATTTTGTTAAAAATATTTTCATAAAAGTATAAGATTATTAAATTTTGGATAAATATACGTAGTACTAGTTAAAATGATTAGTCAAATTTACAATCTTTGACTGAAAAAGACAAAGATGACTAACTAAAATAGGACAGATGTAGTATTAGTTTGATTTGAACAAAGTTAAAATTGAACAACATTTAAGTTCCATTGTGAACCACATTGAATTAAGGGGGGTGTCCCCAAATATGATTTTGATGGATTTTAAAAAATTATGAATTTTATAGAGTTTAATATAGATTCTATAAGACTCTTGTAGAATTCCATGAATTTCAGTATTATGGGATTGGATGGATTTTATCATTTGAAAAGCACTATTTGGAAAAGTATTTCGCTGAACCGCACAGTTTCTACGCACAATTGAAAGGGGGTGTATTGTATTACTCCCTCCGTCCCGAATTGAATTGCAAACTTGATTGGCACAAGGATTAAGAAATGACAATAAATGATGCTTTTTACACTTTTGTCCATCATCCTAAAAGTCGATGCCTTTAAGTTGACGGAAAAAAAGTAAAAGTAGGGGGTCACTTTATGATTATTTAAATACATAAAATAGAAAGTGACAAATCATTTTGTGACAATCAAAATAGAAAATTTTGCAAAACAAATTGGAACGGAGGTAGTAAGATTTAGTGGAAAATTTTTAAAAGTCCATGAATTTTAAATTTTTAGGTGTATTCATTGTGGACTTTTAAAAGTTTACAAAAGCCTAGGTGTATCCAATGTAGATTTTTAGAAGTCTCTGAAAGTTTAGGCGTATTCAAACTTCTGTTCATTCTTATTGATTTCTAAAATCATGGATTTTCGTGGACTTTTAACTCATTCTTAGTGCATTTATTCTTTGCTATTGTCTTTTCTCCTTACTAAAGATTTACGTGGACTTTTCTTATTTCGGTTGTTCATCCTGTCCCACTCCTCCCCTCCCCCAACTCTCTTCTTCTTTACTCAAGCCGCCGCCACCTCCCTTCTATCTTTCTTCTTCTTCTTCTTCTTCAGCCTAGCTCGTCCCACCCCTCTCCTTCCGGTCTTCTTCTTCTTCTTCTTCTTCTTCTTCTTCTTCTTCATCTTGCCCCACCCCACCCCCCTCGATTTGTTATTCTCATATCGATTCGGTTCTAGAATTTTTTAGAACCGGTATAAGAATTGATAGTATTACATCAGTATTCTGGTACGTCGTCAGTTAACTATTAAGAAAATAAATATTTTAATTATTACTTTCTTTCATCGTTAAATCACTAACACATAAAAATATAATTTCAAATTAATAAATATATACCGTAAATAAGTATACAAAATTTTACAAGATAAAAATGAAAAGAAAACAATTATCAAGAAGAAAAACTCGATTACACCTAGGCTTGTACCACATGTAGCAATGAGTGTAACGTTTGTGTAACGAATCTAACGATTAATGTTCTTACTCGTTAATAAAGACACCAAAATTCTTGAGCATTCTTGAAACTTTGAGTTTTCTTTCTAATAAAAACAAATATGGATTCTTATGCTTCATTTATTCTTGTAGAACTTTGTGTTGCTATATGAATTACATTTGTTTTATTTATTTATTTATTTATTTATTTATTTATTTATTTATTTATTTATTTATTTATTTATTTATTTATTTATTTATTTATTTATTTATTTATTTATTTATTTATTTATTTATTTATTTATTTATTTATTTATTTATTTATTTATTTATTTATTTATTTATTTATTTATTTATTTATTTATTTATTTATTTATTTATTTCTTATCATATTCCATATTATAAAGAGAAAATTACTCACATTAGGACTAAAACATAGCATTTTTCTTAGTCTGATGACGACGGCGGGGAACTATGATCATATGTCTGATTTTCTTTAAATAAGACTAAATATTACATATTCACTCCTAATTTAATTAATTAATATAATTAATTGCCCTTAGTTCCCTTGCATAACC